TACTGTGAATCCCAATTCTGGAAGCTACATCAGATTCCCACCCAGTTGAAAGTTCATAATCTTATCCCCACACCCACAAATCCACATGGTCCAATCTTCTTCAGCCACGCTGGCAACTCCACCCAGCTGGTTCCGGTCAGGGGCAGAGGTGCGGAGACAAAAGATGACCTTGGCTTCTAGAAAAGAATGACAACAACACATTCCACCAGTCTACTCCTTTCTATTCCTCCCTCCCAACTACTACACTAATGAAACAGCACAGTGAAATAATAGAAAGTGTGGCAGGCCAAAGATCCTAAAAGGGATATAAGTGCAGGCCTGACAGGAGGTCTTCTAGTCCAACCTCCTGGTTGAACAGGAAGCCCTATACCAGTGTTGGTGAACCTTTTTGGTACTGAGTGTGTGAGGACACATGGAGGAAGCACCGAAAACCGGAAGAACAGCTCCCTGGCGCGCACGTGCACACCAGGAAGCTGAGCTTCTGGTTTCCAATGTGCACATACTGGTCACCCAGTCTTCCAGTTTCTGGTGTCTCTGAAATCAATTGCGTTGCGAGTGCCTTGTGAGAAAGTTTGAGATTGCTACATCTCAAAATGTCAAGTGTGGCTCCAGTTCAGAAAATATGGTCTGTTCCTGCTTAAAAGAGCCGAGTCAGGAGGGGTTGAATTTGTAAAGAGAAATAACACGTTTCTGTTTTGCTTGTGTTCTTAGCCTTTTCAGAAGCTTCCAGATTACACCCTGATCCCTGCGGCGTGCACAGAAGTAGCCAAACTTGGTGGGACTCTCACTTCCTGCTCTCTTCTCATCAACAAGAAGCTGGAGATCTAGTGCCTATAGATCCACACAAAAATACAGGTTCCCCCAGTTCCTGGAGCCTTTTCCTTGTTTTCTTTGTGCAGAGCAATGTAGCTTTTTTTCCCCCCTCTCCACTTCCTTACGGAGCAGAGCGCCGCCCTAATTCCCACCTCGGCTAATTGGCTCACATTTAAATTTGGCATCTGTTTCTCTCTTAATTTACATTGGACCTTCTTCCCCCACCAAGCCCTACCTCTCTTTACTTTCTCTCTTTATCTTTGTTTATGTTACCCTTTAGAACAGGGGTGTCAAACTCAAGGCCCGGGGGCCAGTTCCAGCCCATGGGGTGCTTAGATCTGGCCCACTGGGCTGCCCTGTTAATAGCGAAGGATCGGCCCGCAATGCCTCTGCCAGCAAAAATGGCGCTCGGGAGGGCCACGTGCTCCGTTTTCGCTGGCAGAGGTTTGCAGGAGCCCATCCCAGCTGAAAATGGAGCTCTGGAGCCCGTTTTCACTGACAGAGCTCTCAGGCCGCCACAAGCGCCCCTGACACGAGGGACATCATGCTGGCCACGCCCCCTGGCCACGCCCCCCAGCCCCCCCGCCAAGGTCAAACACAGCCTTGATGCGGCTCTAAATGAAATTGAGTTAGACACCCCTGCTTTAGAAATATTTTTTTACCCTGGCATAGATAAGGGTTTATATCTCTTGCTCCCCAAACTTAATAAAAGCCACATCAGGAAGCTTGGCCCTTCAGCAGTTCGTCAGTAACTCCGATTTTAATAAGGTTCTCAAATTTTCAACCCCACTTGGACGATTTAAGATTAACAGTGGTGCTTTCTTCTTCTTCTTCTTCTTCTTCTTCTTCTTCTTCTTCTTCTTCTTCTTCTTCTTCTTCTTCTTCTTCTTCTTCTTCTTCTTTTCCTTTGTCAATGGGAGGATTTTGTGGGACAAGATTATTGCAATAGATCCTGAGATATAGTTTTGGGCAGCCTTTTTGGGAAGATCCTTAGGAGCTTCCACCGTGAAGTCTGCATCCAAAATGGTGGCCAAAATAGGACCTTTGTTTTTCTCTCTTTCTCTATCATTATATTAGTTTTGGAGAAGAGAGGTATTCATGTAGCCAAGGTCTGCTTGTGATTGTTATTGCAAGCGATCTTTGACACGTTTGGCAGACAGATGATCTTCCATTATTAGAGAACTGGATAATTCTAATACTTTTGCTATTACAGGTTAGGAGCAGGGGTGGGTTTAGCAACTGGTTCTCTGCCCGATTGCTGAGTGGGCATGGCCATGGTAGCTGTGGCCTACTCGGCCTCCTGCACTATGGAGGGGGGGACCTTTTCGCTCTCCTCAGGCTCCGGAGGCTTTCTTTGAGCCTCCGGGAGGGTGAAAATGGCCTCCCCCTGGCTCTGGACTGGAGGCTGGAAACGGGCCCATTTCCAGACTTCCGGAACTTCAGGGAGGCCCCATTTTTCACCCTCCCAGAGCCTCCGCGCAGGCCCTGCACTTACCTGGCATCCAAAACGGGCCGTGTGGAGACTCCTGGGAGGGGCAGAGTGGGCAGGGCCAGCCAGTTCTTGCAACTACTAGTTTAGTGAACCCGATGCAAAGTTCGGTTCACCCGAACCGGCTGAATCCCACCCATGATTAGGAGGCATCCCTAACCGGTAATGGTGGAAATCTAACACTTCATATGTCCTGGCAGAAGTCTCAGTGGTGAGGAAGGTCCACATGACCTTCGGTGCCTCTGAAATGTTCTCAAAAAACTTCACCAATAGCAATAGAGGAGAATATCTGCAGCTCAGGGTTGAACTGAGGAATGCTTGGTGTTCTCTGAGCTTGGTTGTTTCTTGCAGACATTTCATTACCTGAGCAGGTTACGTCATCAGTTGGGCAATGAAACGTCTGCAAGTAGGCAACCAAGCTCAGAGAACACCAAGGACTCCACAACTTCATAAATGGTATCTTATATCTCTGCTTAGCCTGCTGTATAGCATGGTGCTTTTAATTTCGGGGATTCTGAGAGTGTAGAGTGATTCTCCACTGTTTTCCCAGCTCACAACAGTTTTCCTTCATGCCACTTATGTGAAAACTCACAAAACTAAAGTCATCAACCGAGGAGACATTTCCTTCAACACCACCACATTATGTATTTGTTTAATGTGGATAAGGGGCACTTGTAGCAATGTTCTTGAGAACAATCCTGCTGATGATCAGTTCTAGGAGCCTAGATGATTCACTCACCGCCTCTTTTAACCCTCTGTGGAATCAGTTTTTTTAAAAAGTAATAAATAAAAGACTGCCAACAACTCAATTTCTTAATGGGTCTCCCTTCTTTGGTTTCATTCTTAGATTTTTAGTTCACCCTACCATCGTCCAAATGAAGAGCTTCCATTTTTAACAGCATCCTTTTATACAATCAATCCTTGACTTATTTCCACAAATGAGCCCAACATTTCAGTTGCTAAGCAAGATGTTTGTTAAGTGGATTTTGTCCCATTTTTCAACCTTTCTCGCCACAGGTGTTAACCGAATCACTTGCGGTCGTTCAGTTAATTACACAGTTGTTAAGTGAATCTGGCTTCCCCATTGACTTTGCTTGTGAGAAGGTTGCAAAATGTGATCACAGGACCCAGGACACTGCAACGGTCACAGATACATGCCAGTTGCCAAGGGTCTGGATTTTGGTCACATGACCATGGGTATCAGAGATGGGTTCCTACCAGTTTGCACCAGTTCGGTAGAACCGGTTCGTCAAATCTACCGAACCCGTTAGAAGAGGTTCCACTAGTGGACCCAGAAAGCAGGCCACACCTACAGAAGAGGTTCCAAATTTTTTTGAAACCCACCACTGATGGGTATGCTAAAAGGGTAATTGTGAAAAATTGTTTTTTTTTTTTTAGCGCAGTTACTAAATGAATGATTGTAAGTCAAGGGCTACCTCAGTAAGGTTTTTTATCCCCTAGTTTTCTTTCTAATAAATCACGGTGTCCACTAACACTTCAAAGAGCAAAATAAAAGGAGATGGATATTGGATAGCCCTCAAGACCAGCCCCACAGAGGAAGGGTGTGTTACACAGAATCCAATTGTCACAACCCCCTTTCTTCCATTTTGAACACTTGCCAGGGTCTTCCTCAAAATATTAGCTGGAAAATGGCTTTGGGAGCTGTTTGCAGTATATAATAGGGTATTTTCTGACAGGAACTTTCTGACAGTGAGAACAATCAACCAATGGAACAGCTTTGCCTTCGGAAGTTGTGGGAGCTTCATCACTTGAGACATTCAAGAAGAGACTGGACTGCCATTTGCCAGAAATGGTGTAGGGTCTCCTGCTTGAGTGTGTGTGTGTGTGGGGGGGGGGNATTAAAAGAGCCATGTTGGCACATCTGGGAAAACCCGAATCTGAAAGCTTCCAGGTTTTCCCACCCAGTTGAAAGTTCAAGATCCTGCCCCCACAAGTCCATCACATGGTCCAATCTTCCACTGTCACACTGGCAGTTTCCATCCATCCATTTCCGGACAGGTACAGAGACAAAGATGACCTTGAGTTTCTAAGAAGAATGCTATTATGGCTACATATCACCCAACTCCGTATAATCCCCCCTCCCATTTTCCCATAGTAGAAAATGAATAGTAGAACGTGTAGCAGGCCTGAAGTCCAAAAGAAAAGAGGGCTTGCAGACCTGACACACACACACACATACACTCTCATCCCAACCCACCTTATGGGATTGTTGTTGTGGATAACATAGGAGGAGGAAGGAATATTAGGAATGTTCTCTGCCTTGAGTCATTTATAAAAATGCTAAAGGCAGGCTAGAAAAACCACTAGCTGTCAGAACATACATGAAAATTACTTAATCTCATAACACTTGGACAGGCTCAACTATAGTTTCAATGGGGAAACTATGAGCACCCTAGACCAAGCTAAATCCAAAAATTCTAGGGAATTCCTCAGACAAATCATCCACACAGAGATAAACCACATTTAAACACTATTCAAAAAAAGGCAATAAAAAGCTAAGAAAAGAACAAAAATTGTACATTGCCAGGAGTCATTGCCAGGAGATGGGTGGTTCAGAAATGTGATGACGATAGACAGACATAGAGGGAGGGAGACAGAAGGGGAAAGGACTAGAACACATCCTTTCTAGCAACCAACATCCAGATAAGCAGGGATTAATAGCAGACAAACAATGAAGTAGAAAATACTTTTCAAGAAACTACTAAGGAGAAAACTATAACCTCACCAACACTCGCAGGACAAGCTACTCAGAGGTGGGTTGCTCCTGGATTGGCGAACCAGTAGTAGCGGCAGTGAGAGGCTCCGCCCACCCACCTGGACGCTTCTGCGCATGCACTCTGTATATAAACCAGAGAGCAAAGCGTACACTCTGTTGCTGATAATGTTCCCTAGTCATATAATGAAACCTCTGCAAGCAAACAACCAAATTCAGAGAGCACCAAGCCCCCCCCCCCTCAGTTCAATCCTGAGCCACAAATAATTCTCTTCTATTGGGACACATTTTGAAATATCAGAAAGGTTCTTATACTGTGCATCCTCAAATACCAGTGTATACTCAGAAAGCTCCCTGGGAGCCCATTCCACTTTGTTAAAAAATTAAAATTAAATAGGAAACTGGCAGAGTGAAAATGAGATGCGTTAGAGGCATTGGTATGATCCCTGCAGTCAATCCCCAGGCAGCCTGCCAAGATCAAGGAAGCAAGAAGCGCAGATCTCTATAAGGCCTCTTACTCTTGGTCTGGAAAAAGTGAAAAAAAATGACAGTTTATTTAAGGGCACAGGCTTCCGTGGACTGCAAGTCACCTCATCCAACCCACTGTTTGTTGAGATCTTGTGAGATAACCCGAGACCTTTTAATGTAAATGAGTTCAGCAATCTCTTGATCCATTTTGATGTTTCAGCAGAATTCTGGGAGTTTCACACATCTTCAAGTAGCCAAGAGAACAGAATAACAGAGTTGGAAGGGACCTTGGAGGTGTCAGCATTCCAAGTGTCATGCAGAATTAAATCAGAGTCCAAGGCAAAATGATCCTTAAAAGTTCCAATTTAATAAGTCAAGACATCTTGGCACATCTGTGGAATCCCAATTCTGGAAGCTACATCAGATTCCCACCCAGTTGAAAGTTCATAATCTTATCCCCACACCCACAAATCCATCACATGGTCCAATCTTCTTCAGCCACGCTGGCAACTCCACCCAGCTGGTTACGGTCAGGGGCAGAGGTGCAGAGACAAAAGATGACCTTGGCTTCTAGAAAAGAATGACAACAACACATTCCACCAGTCTACTCCTTTCTA